AGCCTTAAATCGGAAGGGAGCTGCTTCTCTGTGGTCTTCCACAAGAGCTGCCTGGGCTCTGCTGGCTCAGTAATAACTGAGTGACCTTTTCTTTCGCTGTATTATGTCTGGCTGGTAAGGGATTGCATTTTGCAGCTGATAAAGCCCTGACTTCATTCAACTCGGCTCCTCACACGCTGCTTTAGGTAAGTTGTCTTCAGCCAGGACGGAGACAGACAGCCTTGGACTGCAAGATACTAAAAGGAGGACACCTGTAGCTCGGATGCGGTCAACACAATTACTTGGCGGATCCTTGAGGACCTCATTATTTTAAACTTAAAGAATAGCGATCTCCCTCCCCATCTCTCCCACCCCCTCTTTATTTTTTTCCCCAAACAATGCTTCTTTTTGACCTTTTCCAAGGAGAAGAGCTACAAAGCAGCCACTGTGCTTATTGAACTGCCTCCCCTGTATCGCTTAATTGAGAAGGTAAGTGAGGCAACTGTGTACATAAGCTTTGGGTCATTTGTGTATGTGTGCCTGCATCACTCTCTCTCTCCCTCTCTCTCTCTCTCTGAGTCATAAGCCGGGGCTGCAATACACACACACATCTCCGCACTGCAACTTTCACTCGAGCCGCAGCTCTGCTGAGACTGTTTTGTTTAAATCATGTGAGGCTTCATTATTTTTATGATGAGACATGAAATACATGCAAGCAGAGGATGCTGAGCGAAACCCACCCGACTGTACGTCTCGAGAAATAGCAGTCAAAGTTAACAATGAATTGCAGCCCCACCGCTACACACACCCCCCCCTCCCCGTTATTATTGTTATTATTATTATTATTATTCTTGCTTCTTCCAGAGCTTCTCGAAAGACGCTCTCAATTATCAAGGGAGTCGGTTAATTTCCCACTCCCCGGCTTTAATCCACAAGGCTCCCCGTACAGCAGTTTCATTTGCAGCCGGTTCTGTGCAGGGTTAACCCTTTGGGCCGAGCGCAGGCAGGAGCGGGGCGGGGAGCCCGGGGGGCAGCGGGGCCGGCAGGGAC